GTATTTCTTATTTCTTACGTCGGTTACGTCTCTATGGAGTAATCAAGAATCTTATGCTGCTGTTTTATATTTAGAAAGTAGAAAGTATTGTTAGGTATGGTATCACAGTGTGGTTTGGTAACCTATCAGTACAGTTTAAATCTAAGTTGATGCACCTGTTATTGACAGCATGGAGAATTGTTGGGCATGATGAACATTTTAACCTTCAAGTTTTATATGAGGAATGTGTTCTTAATCAGGTAGAGAGGATTCTTGGTGATCAAACTCATTTCTTGTATTTACAATATGAACTACTTCCCTCTGGTAGAAGATATAGAATCCCAATGTGTAAGTTAAATCGATATTAGAATTCCTTTGTACCTGTATCGGTGCGGTTGTATAACAAGAGTTCATCTTGATGTTATTTTCATGATTTTACTTAATTTTGTTTTTATATGTTTATTGTATTTCTGCAGCAAAATGTAGTCCATAACAATTTTCCTCTTGAGGACATTAAAGTATACTACTACTACTACTACTACACACGGGCCCAGCTAACCAATCACAACACACACTGGCCCAGCCAACCAATCACAGCACACACTTAGCTTCTCGGTTACTTTTTGTTGATTTTAGCTCTGCTTTTAACACGATTCAACCGCATTTGTTAATTGATAAAATGAAGCAGCTGAGTGTAAACCCATGTATTATTAAGTGGTACTATTCTTTTTTAATAGATAGAACTCAATATGTAAAGCTAAACAATCTTCTTTCATATCAAAAGAGTTAGCTAACCAATCACAGCACATTTCGTATTTCTGAAGGCGGGCCTTCGTTTGATACAGGAACTATTCGAGCCTTTCGTGCCAGACTGGGGAGAGAGGTGTTGTAATAATGTAAAATATGTGAAAAATAATGTGTTTTTCGAACAACCTAGTATGAGCACCTGTTCTAGTACACACCCAAAACAAAATCAAGACTTTGTAAAAGAGCATAATAGGACCCCTTTAAACTTCTTATCGTTAGTAATCCTAATATTCTACTTTCTTTTCCCACTTTGAACTGAACAATAAAATGGCAAACTTCCAATGAGAGTATCATTATTGAGTTGAGCTTTTTTAATGTATCCTTGGAGTTCAGTCTCCCCTAGAAATGAATGAGCTTGGAAATCATATTTGAGAATAAGTGCAACTTGCGTACAGGGAGGGCACTGGTTTTTAATGAAGTTAGTGTTCACAGTTATATCAGCATTTACCATCCATTCTGTGAGAATTACAGGACAGAAAGAAACAATCATGAGCTGATTTTGATATGTGTCCTCTGTCCTGTAACAGCGCTCTGCACAGACAGCAGTGGAGGACAGTGAGAGGATCTTTACTGAACTCATCCGCTCCATTGAGAAACGTCGCTCTGACGTGACACAGCTGATCAGAGATCAGGAAAGAGCTGCAGTGAGTCGAGCCGAAATAAAACTGGAGCGACTGGAGAAGGAAGTCAATGAGCTGAGGAGGAAAGATGCTGAGCTGAAGCAGCTTTCAGAGACACAGGATCATGTTCATTTCCTCCAGGTAACAAAGATCTTCTCAAACACAGAGGACTGAGGACTTCAACAGGCTTTTGTGATTACATGGAGTTTGTGTTTGTGCTTGTGTCTGCAGAGTTTGTCGTCTGCCACTGTCTCTCTCTCTGGATCTACAGACGGCTACAGTGTCAGTCCTCATCTCTCTTTTGATGATGTAATGAAATCAGTTTTTCAACTCAGAGACAAACTGCAGCAGTTCTGCAGAGAGACAGAAAAGATAACTGAAACAGGTAGATTCCTAGGGATTCGTGTATTCTTATTCATTAAATATGAATTTCCTCTTGACATGAGAATTAATCTGCAAATATGTTTTGGTGTCTGTAGTGAAAACCATTCAGGACATTATTGCTCCTGAACATGAGACCAGAGCGGAGTTTCTACAATGTGAGTTACTCCAAAAACACACACAAACACTGACAATCATTGAGAGATATACATAATTAAACATGATGATCTTACTAGGGGTTGCTCCAGAACCATAGCAATTGGACACAAGTCAGTTTAATCGTGTTGAAGCAGTACACAGCATGACTGAACTGGTGAGCTGACTGCAATCGCACAAGCCTTCCAATTAAACATAACATTAGAGGAGGAGATTGAAGCATTTTATTATTGCTGCTAGTGTAACAGGCCAGAAAGACCAGGTAAACCTCACTCTCCTGATCTCAAGGGGTGCACTAGCAACTGACAATAAAGGCGTTATATCAAAGACTATAGATATAAAAAGACAGTTCACTCCTATTACTTATGAATCGGAGAAACTGCAACATGCAATATGGCAAAATTGCCCCGCCTTCTGAATAAAACAGCCAATCACTGATTAGTAAAGTCACTGGCTGCTGTTAGAAGCTCCGGTTCCCATAGAAACCCGAGACTTCCGCTTAGGACTGCACATGCGCATTGGCTAGTCTAGCCTGAAAAATAAGCTTTTTAAATGCTATTTGAGCATAAGGAACAGCATTTATGGGCCAATTCATTCAAATTTTAAAAAATGAAAAGTTAATCCTATTGCAAATTACAAACAAAATTCATAGGCACTACATGTAGCCCTGTCTTAGAATAAAGGCTTTTTTTTTTTGTATTTTGCAATAGGATCCACTTTTTATTTTTGACATTTTGTTCCCTCTCTGGAGCACCCATATTTTTTTGTCTGCGAGTACCTGATGCCCCCCTGGTCAAGATTTTTTCATTGATTATCATTTCAAATTTTGTTGTCGATTTGAAATATATAATTTAATTGTGAGTTCAGCAGGCAGTTTTTGAGATTTCAGGATTCCCCCATTCATTTAGACAGGAATTGGTTTGATTTGAAACTTGAGCACGCACAAGACGTGACATGTGAAAGGCCACTAACACTATAGCTTCAGATAATTAAAGAAAGAAAATAAAAAGATTTGGTGAAAAGAAGATGATTTGATGAAGTAAACAGCATGGCCATTTCATTCAACAAGAGCATAGAGTTGTGTATGTCAGTGTATGTGCACACAATAGGGCTACCTTGTAGTGAGTAGCTTTGAATCCTTGTTCAAAGTCAATAAAACCTAAAACCGAAGAAGATTGGCATGCTTGTCTTGTTAGCATTCATTTACATAGTTGGGAATGCCTTGGGAGAACACAAACTTTGGGTTACCAATTTAGGGGGGAATTGAGGCAATTCCAAATCAGTTGTCGAGGACTGATGAAAGCATGTAAGTGTAGTGGTTTTATGAAAGGTTAATTGTTAATGCTTTCTGGAATACCTGCTAAATGAGTGACGCATGAAAACTTTTTCCTACATCTTTATTAATCTTGCTAAAATACTCAACTATCTTAATTATTAAAGTCATACTTTATTATTTACATGCAGATCATGTGTTTGTTTTCATCAGATTTCCATCCATTCACATTGGATTCGAACACAATATATTCAAGTCTCCGTCTGTCTGAGGACAACACAGTGATCACTTCCACCAGCTGTAATTACAGATATCCCAATCATCCCGACAGATTTGACTATTGGATAGAGGCCTTGTGTACAGAGAGTGTCAGTGGACGCTGTTACTGGGAGGTTGAGTACGGCGGTAATGAAGGTGTCCATATAGCAGTGGCATATAAGAGCATCAAGAGGAAGGGAAAGAGTGGTGATAGTCGATTTGGATATAATGATCAGTCCTGGAGATTGTACTGCTGTAACTCCAGTTGCTCATTTAGACACAATACCATACGGACTGTGCTCCCTGTGGTGTCCAGCCGTAAAATAGGAGTGTATGTGGATCACAGCGCAGGAACGCTGTCGTTTTTAAGTGTCTCTGACACAATAAGTCTCATCCACAGAGTCCAGACCACATTCACTCAGCCCATTCACTGGGATTGGATTGCAAAATAAAACAACAGTAAAACTGTGTCGTCTAAATATGTAAATATATAATATTGCCATATCACATCTAAGCATTGTGAATTTCTAATTATTTAACAGCTAATATCTCAGTTGTGATAATAGTTTTAGCAAATTAATCAAAAGATGTTTATGTATGAGGAGAAACTGATCATCAAAACTGTGATTTATGTCTTTTGTTGGAATTTGTTGAAACTTTTGATTACTTTTGGTGAATTTCAAATCTGATTCTCATGTTGTTAAAGAAAGAAATGTATAGACTGTTGTTGTTGTTTTTTATATTTTGTGTGCTGCTGTTTAGTGGACTTTTATACATAATTTGCTTTGTTTTTATATCTGAATATATCATATCCTAATACCTGTGCTTCAAATGATTAATTAATGAATAAAGCAAAAGAAAACCAAGATAGACATGTTGTCTTTCAGCTATATATCCCATATCAAACACAATGCATAATAGCCTGCTTTATAAATGTTATTACAGAATCACTCTTTGTTAAAAGTCTTGTTGTCTCGTATTTCAATTACATTTTTTAAAATCTCTTTCAAAAGTACGTGTATTTTATTTTAAAACCTAAAGAAAACATCAGTTTACTTGATATCAAATCTGCATAAGCAGAACTTGTAGTTTATGCCAGTGCTTAAAACAAGTGGAAAATAATAATAATAATAATAATAATAACAATAAATCTGCCCAAGATAAAATACTCTCATCTTTTGTTTGGATGGTGAGGTGTTTGTAATGAGAGCATTCAATTTTGAAGCACAACTAAAAACATAATGTTAACATTTGATCATATGACTTAATTTTTAACCAAATGTGTTTTTATAATGCTGCAGAAAAGTTATTACCATGTCCTTTACGGGTATCTAAAAAGATATGAGGTCATATAGGTTTTATATATTTAGCATTTCTTTTGTTAATGATCTCAGAACACTGAGGAGAACAAGACAGATGTGTTGACTTCATTCCAACTTTAATTTACTGTGTAGTCACATTAAAAAAATGCTAAAACTTTTTCACTGGAAATGAAAATATGTTCCTCAGAAATGTATTGTCAGCAGAAACAATGAGCACTATATTTATTACCTTTTGATGGCTTTGGGTGTTTGTTCTAAGGAACTGATTGTATGTTGCTTGCCTGCAGCACTGGAACATTCTTTAACCTGTTCCAGATCTCATCAAACCACATTCCTAATCCATCAGAAAGTTCAGCGCTTTTACTACTAGTAGACATTTATTTGGTTGATTTAGCTCTAGGAGAGACGATTATATTTCCAAATAGTGCTTGTTGGTGTTGGAAGGGTTTAGTTCTTATAGAAGGGATGTTGTAATTTATTGAAATTTGTATAATGTCATGAGTTTGTTGGTCATTTCATTGTGCTATTAGAGTATGGAAATCAGTAAGGGTGCATCCTGCAGAAAAAAAATCAATTTAAGTTAATCATGATCAGAATTTTTACTTATATATACCGTTAAGATACTGTACTACTATGCATCCTTTAGAAATAAATATAAGGTGGACCTGTTTAAAGGGTACCACAGTGACAGCTTTTGTACCTTTTTATTTTTGACAATCCATATACTGCCACACCTATCATTAAAAACACTACAGGACCCTTAGAGTAAGTCACACCCTACAGAAATATCTGTTTCTCAAGAATGTAATTAAGCAACATTTGTCTCCATGATCATAACAGCTTTTTAAATAATAAATTATAGTAAATGATATTTTTGAAAATATAATAAAAAAATAAATGCAGAAAGTTTAGTGTGACGGGTAGGTTTAGGTGTGGATACAGTATTAAAACCACTATGTCTATGGAAAGACTCCATAGACGCAATGCTCTACCACTGAGCCAGAGGATCAATATGCCTTATGGTTGATGAATCGGTATTTTGAACAATGGCCTCTATGCTAGCCTCCTCTGTGAGGAAGTGTCACAGCATGCACGCCCCAAAGGCGTTGTGGATGGGGATTCGTGTTGGAAGACACACATGCATTGCACACAGAATAACCTATTGTGCATTTTAAACAGAGAAAATCATTAGGGGTTGCATCCAGTGCGAAACTATTACCCATATCTGACACTTCTAATCACCCCCGCCCGTCATGTCGAGTGACACACCATTTTGGCAGAGACTTATGCTGTGTGAAGAGCGCTCATGCTGCAGTTTTGTGTTTCAACTTAAACCAAGCACATTTTTATAAACCTTTCATTCGCAGAATGGACATCCTTGCACAAGGAAATCTTTCTCTCATGGAAAAATGTAAGATGATTTATATTTATTATATTTTTATTTATATACATCTTTAAATAAGAATAAATGTATTTTATATATTCAATTGTGTGTGTGCGTGTTTCCGTTGTTGTGTAGTAATACTTCAAATGCTTGACCGGAGCAAAATTTGTACCCATGAGCATAACAGCTTTTTAAACGATAAATTATAATAAATTATGTTTATTAAAAAATAAAAATGCAGAAAGTTTACTGTGATGGGTAGGTTTAGGGGTGGTACAGTATAAAATTCATTAATATAATGTAAATATAAATCTAAAAGTTTCTAAATATATTGTAGAAACTTTAATTTCTGTGAAGCTGCTTTGCAATGATTTGTGTTGTGAAAAGCGCAATACAAATAAACATGAACTGAAATGAATTATGTCTATGAAAAGCTTCCATAAAACATGGTAAATAATTTGACATGTCCGGACATGTCAGGGCCCACAATAGCCTTTATCGTTTTGGCCTGTATAATATAATATAATAAATATAATATTATATATTATATTATATTATATGTATAGATAATTTTGTGAAGAAATCAACTATCTGGCAGTTAGTTCTGCCCTCAATCTTTTTTTTTTTTTTGAGGGGTTGAAATTGGT